GGTGAAGTTGTTTGTAGGTTCTTCTTTAGATATTGCAAGTTGCGTCCTAGCAGGCTTTCCTCCATTTCTTAGGTCATGAGGGAGATCTCAGAATAGTTCTACCTGGCATAACGTTTGTTTATTTTTTACTGGGGGAGGCATTTATACTGCGTTCAGTTCACGGTAGCAGTTGTTACTCCACGTGTTTCTGGAAATGCTGCTGCTTTCAGACTAGATTGCGGTATCTTGTTAGTTTTAAAGTTCTCTTTGACTGACATTACTCCTGATGAAACCTGCTCTCAGTGAGCCCCTTGGCAGGCCCTTTACCATCGCTCTCAAACTGGAAGTAGTTTCTGGTAGTGTGAGCAGGGCCATGTGTCAAATTCCACCCAAGCCTTCATTTGTCTTCTGCCTGACACCATGAAAAGGAGAGGGAGCAAGCTTTGCATTTCACGTCCATGTCCCTGCTTCGGTGGCTGGAAAGAGATTCATCTTTACCCCCTAGGCAGAAATGCATATTGAGGGAACGAATAATGCTTTCTCTTGCAGTTGTGAACGGGGAGGGGCCAGAGGAGTCGGGCAGGAGAGAGCTTCTAAAAAGAGAACATGTTCTCAGTCGACATTTTGCCAGTATGCTGCCACTTGGCAGAAATAGCTGCAGTGTACAGTACGGTGAGCAAGGCTGTTGTACGGAAGGACCAAGTCACTGATTTTTGGAGCCAGACGTGATGGTTGCTCAATTTCTATAGCACTGCGGTATTTTAATACCAGTAAATTCTCCCTTGTACTTACCACTAGTTTTAAAGCAAGTTAATTAGATGATGGGAACCGGTGCAGGACAGTGAGATTATTAGACAGCACTTGATTTATTTATTTATTTGAAGTTGTTTTATGAGAACTCCTCTGTGTCTCCTTAGCATAACCAGTGATCCTTTTCAAGGCATTTTGTAGGAAAGAATTGTCAATAGCAACAAAACTGTTCAGCTAGTTTAAGAGTTGCCCTTAGTAACCGGCTGGTCAACCTCAGAGATTTCTGTAAGAGCTAGCTGAATGATACTCACACAGTTCTGCAGGAGAACGAGATACAAGGAGAGCGAATGAGTTGTGTGAGAAACACATAAGCTTCAGAAAGAGCCTGGAAATTCTGATTCTCTTTCGTGTGGCCTGACTTGTAAAACTACCTCTTTGCTCTCTTCTGGAAAGAGGTAATAGGAAGGAGGAAGAGTTACTGGCCATATTTTTGGGATATAATATGCTAACCCTTCCTCTTCTTCTGTTCTCCAATACCACAATTAAGAACATGAGAGCTGTGGGTAATCAGTCTCTGAAGTTAGGACCATATCTGACCTGCAGTTACGATGGCTTGCTCAGCCCTGCTCTTCACTGGGCCAGTTGCTCTAGAGCACTTGGTTGTTACACTTGCAACGAAAGAAAATGTATTGCCACACAAAGTAGCTTGACCTCTTTTTTTTTGTTTTTGTCTTAAGTCGTTCAATTCCCTTCATGCTAGTGTGGCTAGAGGTGCACACCTTGCACAGGACAGTGCCACGAGAGAGGTTAGCACTCTCTTCTCTGCAGTTCCTTCTCTCATCTACTAAAGACGTCACTATAGGCATTTGTAGTACATCTAAACATTGGCTTTCATTTAACTTTAATTGTATGTGGAAAAATGCGAGGGTCACACTGATATATGCCTGCTGCTGCTGATCTGACTGAATATATCTTCATGATACACTTCATGAATTGGTCAGGTCAGTTTTGTGAAACCAAGTATTGCCGTTTGTTACACTAGAGGATATATCAGTGTTGGAAAAAAGTTGAAATGAGTCATTGTATGAATCAAGTGCTTGTGTAAAGTTTTACTTTTTTACTTTTTACCTAACCCTACAAATCCATGCAAAAAAAATTTCAGGCAATGAATATTGAATCCATTCTTTATGTATTTCTTCAGTCTTAGTGTAAGGAAATGCTTTCTTCTCCTTCAATTTCCAGATTAATATGTACTGTTAGGACATACAATGACAAATTATAACACTGCCCTTCCCTATCATTTTTGTCTAGGGACCATGATCGTTGCAGCCTGTAAGTTCTATCTTAATTGTTTGCTCTCTATTGAGGAGTACAGCTCCCTCTTGAAGTCACAGGAAAAATGAGTGTCACAGAAGCTTTTTTCAGGGAGAGGGAGGTGGTTTTTTCAGGTGACTACCTGAAAGGAAATATGTTTTGCATTTTGGATACTATTAAAGAACAGTGCACTTTTGGTGAAAAGTATTTTTTTTCCAAATTTTTTAATAGAGAAAAAGTATTGTAGGTATGAATTGTAGCTGGATTCTAAACAATTTCAGCACTCAGGCAGTCTACTCTGTGTTTCTGCTTGCCTGTAATATAATTCTTACTAGACAAACGATAAAGACATCCAGGCAAAGTGACGGTTATCTAGGGCGTCAGTATAATTATGTTTTCTTTCTTTGGGTATTTTTTCCTTCCCCTGTTTTTTTACTTGGCATTTCACAAAAAAAAGAAAGAAAAAACAAAACAAAACAGAAAAACCGAATGAGTGATCTTTATGATCATTGAAGACCATGTGGCTAGATAGGTGAAGGAACTTAAGGTTTTCTGATCTTATTCTGCTAGATATTAAATAGTTACTTGAGACGACAAGCTTTGTTCCTTCTTGCACAAATGAAAGTGGAGGAATTTGAAGATTGTGCAGTATGAAAGCATATAAATATGTTTAGCACAAAACTACTTGTTAATGAAGTTACAGGCCTGGAATATTGCTTTGCTTTGCTTTGCTTTGCTTCCCTCCCCCCGTTTCCCCCCAGTAACGGGAGCATTTATACAACTCTTTTTAGGTACCTACTTGCATCTACTTCTGTTCTCTGACTTGCATCCGAACTAGAAGCCTACTGTAGCCGTGTGAAAACCTCCCTTGTAAGGATTTCTAAAATGTAGTGAAACATGTATGAGCATGGAAAAGTAGTTTGCCTAGCGGTGCCAGTTTGAAGGAGATAAGGAAGGTGGAATGAAGGAGAGAAGCTGAAAAAATACTCTTGCTGTTGTAGATTTGATCCCGACGTATTGCAACACAAGCCGCTCCACGGCTGAGGCATCTACCTGTCGTGGGCAACGTGGCTTGCACTGAGTGTTTAATTGCCCCCCGCGGCCCTATCATAATGCCTGTGAGTGCCGGTAACCTGGTAAATCTGCTCTGAGATAGGCAGGCAGTGGGGAGTTGACCGTGATGGAGGTGGCATAGAGAGATATGGACAGTGATGCTGAACGCTGATCTTCTGCACCTCGAGGGCATGCAGTAACTGCTAGGTTGCTTGGCAAGTCCGGAGAGGGAAACTACCACCAGGTTGTGAGTCTACTGCCTGTTTATTTCTTCCAGATGATTCTGATGAATTTGGATTGAATTCATACATTTCGGAGTGGCTGCAATCATGTTTTCAAGAAGCTCATTTTTAAAGAATAAATGTATTACTGAAGTTTACTCCTGAGTGATTTGCCTTAGCAACTTATTGCCAAGTAATTTACCTCAGAAGTCATACTTCCTTCACCGCCATGTATTGCAGATGCACAACAAGCATACCTGTCTTATCCCAGGAGATCCATAATCTGGGGGAATTTGTAGTCACAAAAGCAAGAAGTGCACTTTTTCCTTTTGAATTTTTATTAGTGTTTCCTTTTTATAGATGCAAACCTTGCTTCAGAGTAGTCTGCCTAGGGCCCTATGCACTCAATAAAGGACTGATTTTTCTTTGTGTAGGTGATTGAGAATTTAATTATTGATAAATTCAGAGCTAAGAAATATATAATACTGGATTATGTGCTTTCTCTAAGATTAGTGAAGATATTTTGTTTATTGATGTAGATAAAAATTCAAAATACCATTGTTTTCTTTTAAGGGGGTGTATAACCATAGGGGGAAACATTTTTCCTCACATAGATGGAAGAGCAGCTGATTCATGGTAGTACAGCACTGCATATATACACACACACACAACAGAAATGCACGTCCATACAAATGTAGACAAATGTGTATATTTATGGTTGTTTATAACACGGTGTTATTTCTAATACTGTACACCTGTTTTTCCCTACTGTGTGTCCTCCTGTACATCCCAATAACAGGAAAAATAATGCCTTCATAGCGCTCTTTTTTTAAAGTGATCTCCAAAATTAAACAGCCATTAAAAGGAGGATGATGAAATAATAAAAATAGCTTAACTTAGCAGAATCATAGATGATTTTCCTCATTTTTTCCCTTCCTAGTCCTATTCTTTTATTTTCTCTGAGCTCCAATAGCCAGACCATCTGGTTCTGGGAGCAGTGACAACTCTTCAGGCTTACAAATAGAAGCTGAAGCTTCTCAGACTGCTACAGTGGCCACTTCTAATAGATCCATCATTCTCGCATGTTAAAATTCCCTTGCATATGATGGGATTTATTTCTTTTCTCATTGTCAGTAATTTCCATATTGAAGAAAAAGAAGGAGGAGGAGGGCGGGGGGCGGGAGGCGGGATGACAGACAGCGGAAGTAAGCCCAAATTGCAGATAATAAATATTTAAGGGGCACAGATTAGTGCAGTTGTGAACAATGTTGTCATGTAGTGTACTAATACTTCATTGGTTTGTGTTTATATAGAGCCTATTTTTTTGTATGATACTTTATATCAATTCACCTGTTCCACTTCATGTTAATGAAGAAATGGTTAGTTAGGAAATTGTAATTAAGCACTTGGAGACTATATGGCCAGGGTAAGGAACAGAATTTTTGTGCTTGTAAAAACCAAATAAGTAAACACCAAAGGAGAATATCCTTTAATTTGTTTGTATTTATTTATTTATTCATTTAAAGTACCTGTACATGTTTTAAAATGCGTATAAAAACACTGTGATTTGAGTGAGTGGAAAATGTCTGTATCAGACTGTTTACAAACAAAATCTTCCTTCTTACTCTGAAAATTGTTGCATGCCTCAAAAAAAAAGATAACAGCAAGATTAGTGATGAATTGATGGCCCTCTTTAAAAGTAGGTTTGTCTGAACTTGTAACATTGTAAATAATTACTTTTGTAGCTAACGTGTTACACATGACATTTAGAAAACACTACTGCAAGACAATTTGAGAACAAATTGAATCAGAAGGAAGAAAGAACTGCAGGAGAGACTTTAATCAGCATTCATTATTTATTCCTCTATTCTGAGAAAATTATATATGCCAAATACAGGCCTTTAATCAAATAATGATTAAAATATTCAGATCTCACCTATGTAGTTGGATGCATTGACCCAAATTTCAGGCATCCAAGGGGAAAACGCTGTAGTTTGTGCAGCTGATAGAAGCGCTCTGTTCCCACCCCCTGCTGTAATTAATTTGGCCAGCAATCCATTGTTTGTTGTCACTTTTTTTGTTTTGAAAAGTTCCCCGTCTGCTGTTCGTACTATGTTTTAAGATAAACAAGACAATCCTTTTCATTTGTCTGTCTTTTTCTTCTTTGTAGCTAACAGCCAGGCCACCTGAACAAATCAACTGCTCACAAGGTCCCTAAATAAACACATCTTTTGGTACGGGTAACTGAGGTTAACTGGACAGAGGCAAATGAAACTCATTCCTCTTCATTTTGTCTTCTTTTGTAGTTAATCTGCTGGATTCAAAAACAATTCAAGGGGAGCTGGGCTGGATCTCCTACCCATCACATGGGGTGAGTTCACTAGACTGTGAAATGGAAAAGTGCTGCTACAGACCAATGTGCTATTTAACCATTGTTTCCTCTTCAGAGGACACCGTGCAGTAGTGCTGGTTCTTTGGAGCTTCAAAAATAGTCTGCTCTAAACTTGCAGTATATAGCTTACATAGCTGTGGTGCCTTCTCTTTAGAATATACATCGCAATGCGTGTAATCCCCAGGAAGAGCTCACTTTTATTGGAGAAAATGAAAGCCAGAGGTGCATTGAACAAAAAAATAGTCCTCTTTAGGTACTTTTCCTTCTTCTATTGCAATGTGTATTTCTAAAAGATATCATGAGACTGTTTCATAGCATTACTTGCTAATTTATTCAGATGGAAGTAGTGGAACGTGAAAAATGTGTGGACAGAAGTGGGTGATGTAAGTAATTATTTGATAACTTTTGTGCTGAATTGTTCAGGTATTGTTACTTATGAGTTAAAATGTTATTAAAGAAATGTCTAAATAATGTTCTTGAGGGTTGGGACTTTTTTTATTTATTTACCTTGTATCCAGATCTAATGAAACTAGACCTTCTATTTGGAGAAGTAGAAGTCCAGTCTTAGAGCATCTGTGCTTTCGAACTTGCTAACTCCATCATTTATAAATAGCATTTGCCACCAGTCTCTTTAAAATTTTTGATGACTTAATATCAGTGCATAGCCGTCCAGTGGTGCTGATATCTGGTCACTCCCCAACTTCTTGTCTCTGTGGAATGTGTACGTGTGTTTGTTTTGTAGGAACAACCCATTACTCTCTACGTTGCATAGAAGAGATATGCAAGGACACCCTTACATTCCTGCATTCTGTCCCCCGAACAAAAAAAAAACCCCAACACTTGGCAGGCTGAAGCCGTGGTGTCTGGAGTTTCCCTCACCCTCAGAGAAGGCTGTGCCATCAAGCCTTTGCTGAACAAAGGCACTCGGACACCTGTGGCTCCTTTTCTTTCTGTCCCATCACTTGTGTATACCCTTAAGGTGCTTTGTTTCCTCTGTGGCAGTCTTATTTTGGTTTCCTACCTTTAGGATGACAACTCCTAGAAGTTTTCATGTGTCTCTGTCTGCCTGTGTCTTCTACCCAACAAGTAAACCTCTGCCAGAGAGCACTGCCACTTCTAAGTCCTTGGGAAATGTTGTCTCTAGTCTTGATAAGGGTGAGGAGTTGCTAACTAAGAGTCCAGCCACCATCCTTTTTCCAAACCAACTGCATTTTGATTCCCGGTGTTGGCAGGTTTTTGCTCGTTGGTTTGTTTGTAGGATCATGAACACCCACTTTTTGATTCTTCTGTGGCTTTGGGCAAGCTGTTACTTCACCTTTATCACTTTCGCAGAGATCAGTGGTAACAGTACTTTTGCATGTCTGCCATATGGGATTCAGTTGTTAATATTTAAGTAGTGCCTTCTTGATATTAAGTGTTATGCAAGTGTTTAGCAGTATTTAAGGATTAAGGCTTGGTTTATTTTTTTGAGTTTACACGTGGATCTTTCTCTGTATCTCTGAACAAGTTGTTCCATTCTCATGGGGAAGAAGTGGGAAGAGGGTTCATGTTTCTTTCTAGTGGCTGTTCCTGCTGACTTTTCACAACAAGAAACCTCTATAAACAGGGTGTCCAAGAGCGAACTCCCCAGCAGTTTCTAGCTCATCAGGGTTTTTTGTCTTTACTTGCATTTTTTTTTCTTTTATGCAAAGCCTTTTTTTTTTTTTTCTTCTGTCCCAGCTGCCCTGCCCTCCTCTGCTTCACTCTTCTACTCTGTTCATCGTCTTGCAGCTGTGCAGATCTGAGGCTCTGCTCCCTGCAGCTGTGCCTCTCCTGCCTTGGATGCCTAGAGCAGTTGGTAGGGAATGATACAGAGTATCTTGGGGGCTGTAAGAAAACCAGATGTGCTACATTACCCCACCAAAAAGGGTCCCCAGATCTCTCAAAGCAATTTTATTAGCTTCTGCAAGTTTTTGTCAGGTAAATCTAGCACAACTCGTTTGTGTGTGTCTGTGCATGCTGATCCTATCCATGGATATCAAAGCCAAAGTAAATCATGGAATTGTACTGATGTTCTTACAAGTTAATGAAATTCTTAGTTAAAAAATCACATGGCAGTAAATTGATGTAGATCATGTACTGTGAATGTTTTTGTAAGAGAACCGAGACTCTATAGCCTTCAAAATACTGTGAAATTTTAAGCTTACATACTGAAAACATGAATGTAAAGTATAGAAATAGCAACATTTATCCTATCTGAATTGGCATTTTGCTGTAAAATGACAACTTGAAATCATGTGAAAGAGATGCCTTCTTTTTACAGCCCTGTATTTATAGTCAATTAATTAAACCTGGTAAATATGGCTGCATCTGTCTCTGAGCTAACTAAAATATGAACTTAAACTTTAGTGGAAAAACATTATAATAAAGATGTCACATCATATTGAAAGATTGCTAATAGCATAGCGGTGATTTACAAGGTAAAGCTAATAGAGCTACACTTGAGGCTGTGATTCACAAATGAGAATATTGGTGTTGTGCCAATTCTTCTCCAGCATGCAGCAGTGTTCTCATTCTGAAGCCATAAATGTCAATGTACTGAGGCCGGAGACTTACAGAATTTTTAAAAATAGTTTAGCCAAAGTGTTTAATAAACCTCTTACTAGGTTAATAATTTTATCTTATCGATACACGATATTGATCGATTTCTGGCAAAATGACCCAAATTAATTGGTTGTTGTTTTCAGCGTTCAATGGTGGCTCTTTATTCTTTTAAGTCTGCCTCAACTTGGGCATATATAATAACAGCTTTCCAGAAATTCCTGAATATTCATGTTAAGATTTATAGCTAATTTGTATTCAGAGATTTCTGTGTCCCACATAAAAACACTCTAATGGCAGTGTTTTAGACCATGGTTAATAATATCACCCTGTAAGAATGTGATCTCTCCTTGAACCATCCCACACAGCCACAGTCTTGGCGTCAGTAACACTGATCTGGTCAAGCTCATTAAAATCCCTTAAGTACAAAACATTGGCCCCTCTAGATAGCAAGGCAATGGAATTAAAAAATATAATAGCAGGCTTTGCTGATGCTTGAGCATGATTGGCAGCAGCCACACGGCCTGTATCCTGTACTACCATCTCCAGCACCTGCCTAGGCAACCTTTTTGTAATGCCAATCAGTCAAATACCAGTTCCATTTCTATAGGTTTCATTAAAGGGGAAAGAAAGAAGAGCTACTTAGTCTGTGCAGAGTATATTATTGATATGCTGATTAAGCATAATGCAAGTGATCATTAACTGCAATTCACGTAAATTACAGCAGCACAGATGTGGGGGTTGGGAGGATAAAAAAGCAAGTCACTTTAATAATATACAATAGAAATGTGATAGATAATTCATACAGGACAAAAAGAGTACAGGCTAAATCTCGCTCTGCATATTCATGCAAGTAGTTGTATTGGTTTCAGCATCATTTTTTTAGTAAGAAAGATGTATCTAATTTGACTCTCGCTTCACGTTCTTTGGGAAGTTTGGAAAAAAAATAAAATTTGTGACATAATAGCACTACATCATTCTCCAGTCACCCAACTTGTGACTTGGATCTTTACATGTTTATTACTCATATTTATGGACTTGAAAGTTTTGGGCACTTTTTAATGTAGTTGGTAAAAAAGTAAAAGAGAAATTATGCTTATCTTGTTTAGCTAGAGAAAAGAATGGTCTGGCATTTATTACTGCCATGTAATAGATAATTGTAAAAAAAAAAACAAACCAGGCCAAAAAACCCAAACAAAAACCCCAACTGCAACATGTTCTGTATGTGACCAAAGTTAGTAAACTGCGGGTAAAATTTTAAAAGACTGGTTGGGAAATAAAGATATTGTCTTTGATTGTGACAGTTTCCTAGGTCCCTGAGTTTCTTCAGAAACATCTGACTTCTTTGAGAGCCGGCCATGCTCAGTACCTTAAACTTTTGGGCATGTACTTGAACTGCCAACTGTACGCTGAAGTGCTTTGAAAATCTGGTGTGAATAACTTTGCTTTTTCTTAGTGGTCACTCCCATGATCATTTGAACTAAGCAAGCTGATCATCTCAGTAATGGAAACTGGTTTGGAAGTATTAAGAGGAGAGAAGGATAACATTCCCTGCTTCTGTAATAGTTTGTCTTGTGCTAGGAGGGCTAGAGTATGTGTGACTGAGGTTAATGAGAGTTTTTCCATCAGCCAAAATCGAGTTAGAATCCAAAAATCCAAATGAAGATGAGTAAAAAGCCTCCTTTCTTATATTTCAAAAGCCTGAAAGTAGTTTGTCACATTAGACTGTGTTACTGCCTACCCACGACAGTGACAGTCTCCCTGGCTGCATTTGTTCTGGTTTCAATAGTTAGCTAATGTGTGGCACTGTAAAAACTTTTTGGCCTTGTTTTATGGGATATCGTGGAAACAGCGACTGCAGAAGAGTCTGACTAAATAAGCGCTTGGATATCCCTTGTGACTAGATGAAGGTACAGGAGAACTTGTGCAGTTACATTTTGCCTATGATTAAGGTGCACTCAGATAAACTGTATCCAAGAATCAGTTAGTTATTCAGGCCACTGTGAATGGAAGGTTTCTCTGTTTAGATGGAAGATTTTTTCATGATTAATAAGCCTTTCCATGAGCATTGGAAATGATGAGGTTTGTTTTCCTGCAGCTTTGTGTCTTGTGGTTAATCGCGTCCTGTGATTGAAGGTTTCTTTTGCAGTAGGTCCTTAATGCCAGTGGGTTTCCTGGTGTCAGTCACGCTTCAGTCTTCCCCTCAGCTGGGCACGCAAAGTTTCTCTTCCCTACATGTCTCTTATTTTCACACCACTGCAGAATCTTAGGGCAGCTGAGCCATCAGAAAAACTTGAAACTGGCCAACAAATACAAAAATTTATGAAACAACCTAATTTTAGTTTTCTTTTGATACCGATTGACATCTTGGTCTGTATTCATTTTTTGTCTGAGACACC